TTAGCCGTGAGTTCGGTCTTTTGGGGAGTGTTTTCTTTAGTTTATTTTAGTTTACTTTTATTTATTGTTTTTTCTTATTGATAAAACAAAGAATAATCTAATAGCTAAAATAACAAAATATCAAAGAAAAATATAGTGAAGTAAAATAAGTTATTATTCCTATCAAGGTCAAAATTGCAACCAATTAATTTTATATTTTTTAAAAGTTAAATTTTTTTATATAAATAAATTTGTGTTGGATAAAATTGTAAATATTTAAAACTTTAAAGTAAACTAATAATAGAGTTTTTAAAAACTTATAATGAAATTTATAGTAGATTTTATTTCATTGAAGTGCAATTCCATATTGAATAAAAGTATAATATTTCAGCTTTTACTCAATACCTAAAACTTTTAGTTCAACTAATAATCAGCTATTTGACTATAATTATGACTTTTAAGAATAAAATACTATTTTTTCCCCTAGACCAATACCGTTCAAGTCAAGAATAGAGGCCATTAAGGATGTACTTGCTTTTCCTTTAACTCGAAACATGGTAGTGTCGTGTTAGATTCAAACACTAATTTTTTATTTTTAAATATTAGGTAAATTTTTTTAGGTAAACTCTACTAGATTTATCTTACTTTTCTAGGGATGTTATAGCGTCTGAAGATATTTAAATAACAATCGAGGAATTTTAAAGCATGAGCCTATTAGTTAGCACATCGCAAAGTAAAATGGGGAAACATGAATAAATGGGAAAGTGATGTTTATCAATCATCCAAAACCTTTTTAGCTATTGATTTGAGGAAAGAAATTTGAGGAAAGAAAGGGAAAAATTAAACTTTCAAAATGACAAATCCTTTCCTTGATTAACCAAGACCGTTCAGATAGGGTGAATATTTTAATATTATTTTTTCATTATAAATTTTGAAAGATTATTTTGATTTATTCATAAAACATTTAACATTTTGAGATTGGATCAACAAACCTGAAAAAAATATTTATATTTAATGTACTACTAGAAAAGAAAAAATTAATAAATTATTGTGCCATCAAACAATATAAATCTAATCATGTTCACTAAGTATATTGGAATGCGCCTCAACCGAGGATATGGACTAATAATTTATATTTGGTTAACCTGTTAGTCAGACACATTAAATATTTGTACTCAATTGTTTTTTTTTTAAAATTTAACTTATTACTGAACTATGTCAGAGTTTCCTTTTCATTCAAAGACTTTTTTTACTATTAATGGAAGATAGTTTTAAAATAATCAAAAAGTTACAAAAAAAAAAAAAAACGTATAGGATTAATAGAATCGGATAATAGCATTTCAGAATGTTTAGGTGAGAATGTTCTTCCGAAATATATTTGCAACTATGAGGGTGTTTGGCTAAGCTTATAAGCTGGTCAAACTAGCTTATAAGCGCTTTTCAGTTTATCTACGCGTTTGGTAAAGTTAAAAGTGTTTATAAGTCAATTGCTTATAAGTCAAAAATAAGCCAAAAACCATAAGTTTGTCACCCCCAGCTTATGAATTTTTAGCTTATAAGCACTTTAAGTTTGACCAAGATTTTTATTATTTTATCCTTAAAATATTCTTTTTTAGAACAAAACTCCTACATCGATAATCATTGTCTCAAGTATTTTTTCAACCTAACCCTCCCCCCGCCTCTTCAAGTTTGCAATTCTCACTGACTATTTAAGATAAGCGAATCCTTTATTCCTTTGCATATTTATATCAATGTAATTATGTATTAATCTTTTAACTGAATATAATAAATGAGGACATATCAATTTTTTGGTGTATTGCTTTCTAAGTGTTGTGGTGATGAAAACAATGTTTGTTTCTCTTCAAATATTTTGTCCTATTTAGGTTCATTTTTTACTGAGAAACTTTTGTCAATTTATTAAGTATTATAACTTATGATTATATGCTTATCGTAAAATAAATTATATTTATCATAAAAATTATCTTATTTAAGCACAATTGTATTTAAAATAAAATCACAAATAGAATATTTTGTATTTGAATCGATCTAAAATCTAAAATTTTGAAGAAATTACGTCTTTATAAGTGTAAACAATTATAAGGTTATTTAAGTCATTTTAACAGAAAAAGAACTTATCAGCACTTTTTTATCAAATACTGCAGCAACTTATTATCAATTTCAGCACTTGTATCCAAACACATAACTGCTTATTTATTAAATCAGTTTCAGCACTTAAAAGTGCTTTTCAGCACCTAATGCTTATCAGCTACTTCAAATCAGCTAATCCAAACAGGCTCTATATTGGTGCAGCACAATACAATTGATGTTATAAAGTTGTGGGAAACATATTATAAAGACATATTAGACAAATTTAGAAGAATACATGACAATTCATCTAATAATTAACTAGAATACGTGATGAAAAGCATTAATTATTCTTAAAGAGTGCGAGCAGGAGTGTAAAAAAAAATATGATACACTTAAACTTGATCCGAAACTAGATGATACTGTTTCATTAGAATGTAAAGAAATAATTGAGAAAGTCCATAAAAGTACATGTGGAAATAAAATACCCAATCAAAACTAAATCCTAATCAACAACAAGTTTTCAAGACTATATTACAAAAAGTTGACTCTGACAGAATAGTACTATTCTTTATAGATAAACTTGAAGGAACTAAAATATATTTCTATATAGTGCTTTACTTGCAAAGTCAAGAGGCATGACAAGAAAAGCAAAATTGACGATCTTGAATGAAGCACCTATGGCAAAGTCTCAGACAATCGAAATATTTGTCATAAGTTTTAGAGATATGTCAAAAAATACAATTTCTTAAGATGATTATGTCAAGTACTACAAATAGTTTTAAAACTAATAAAAATATAATTTGTAAACACCAGCTTGGTAAAAATCACATTTATAGCATCAAATGAATGGCTAACAAAAAATAGGCCGGCAAGAACAAATTCAATATTTAATGAGTCAATCAGCTTGCTTCAAACGAAAATGAGCATACAATTAAAGATGATTTGGTCTTTCTCGAAATCAATTTGTTTTCAAGACCAAGATGGTAATAGTAGTGTTGAAGATTGCTTAATAAGAGATACATTTTCATTATTAAATGAATGCAAGTGTGCAAAATAGATGACTTAAAGAAAAGAATTGAAGCTACATGTTAAGGTCTTGAAGCTAATTGACTCATATTGTAGGAGCTATACTTGGTATAGGACTAATATGATTACAAAAAAAATATTAGTAGCTTGGGATAAAATTTGTACTCCCAAGTTCATTGGTGGTTTGAATTTGATTAATCTACAACTTTGAAATAAACCTGCTATTGCCAAAACCTGCTGGGATTTAGCTCACAAATTAAAGAGGATAAATTATGGGTTAGATGGATCCATACTTATTACATCAAAAGCAAACAATTGAATGAAGCAGAGTATGATGAGAAATACTTTTAACTATTACCTGACTGTCCAAGAGTCCTATGTAAGTGCTTGGTATTCAAAAATGATGCCCGACCTAAGGCCAAATTTACCATGTGGCTACATTTTCAAGGTAAATTATTGACAACTGACAAGTTGATAAAATGGGCACTACCTGTTAATCCAACCTATATCCTGTGGCAAGCCCAGGATGAATCCAAAGACCACATAATATATCATGTAACAGAAATGAATATATCGATCAACTAAATTAGATGTTGATTGTGAAGTTTTCTGGTGAAAGAAAAATATTATTTAGATTTGACTTGATAAAAAATAATACCAATTACAACTATTATCAGGAAGAATATTTAAACTACTATAACACCAAATAATCTTTTGCTACACATATTTGTTGTCAAGCTAAAAACATATTTTATATACCTTTAGAATTTAACGTTCGCCTCTAGACATGAAGGATATCCTTTAAAATTCGTCTAATTTTTTTTTAAAACTATATTTATTATATTTTTCATAAATAATTAACTAAAAATCTACGTGCAACACACGTACATAAAAACTAGTAACATACAAAATGTATATATATACAAAAAATATATATTTTTCGACTTTATTTTGAGAGCGGCTATACAATATCATTTTCCCTAAATGCAACTTGCAAAGTCTCAATAACGTCTCAATAATTGTAAATAGAGAAGTTTAATAACTTCAGGTTAGTAATAACTTTGAAAATGTTGCTTCTCTTTGAATATTTATTTTACCACAAAGTTCTTGTAGGACGGAAAATGGATTTTAACAAATTAAACCAACTCTTTAGCATATTGTAAAACTTTATGGAATTGCGAAACTCATAATATCCAGCTCAAACAGTGTCTGCTATGTGAAGAGAGTAGAAAAGTTGGACTAATATTTTAGTAAGCAATTGTAACACGCACCATATCAACGAGAACCAATGGTATGAAAATGAAAATTCAGTGGATTCTGCAAAAAATAAATAAGTTACAACATCTAATACATAATAAGTCGATAGATCGGACCATTTAGTCGTCCTAATTCTGTATCTTTGTATGCTTTTATTGAACACTCTCCTTATCATCATTAGCATAATTAATTTTACCCACATTATTTGAGTCGAGACTGAAATTGCAGAACCGTAACAAAGACAAATATAATACAAAGCTTTTCTTTGTTCCCACCCCAATACCCATTTTAGGCCCCGATTAAATCCGGATAAAAGATCCTACATTGGGGGTAAAGCGCTCTCTAACAAAGACGACTCTATACCAAGACTTGCAACGAAAACTTCTAGTTAAGGATAAAAAAACACTTACCAATCCATCACAACCTTGGTAATCTAATACAAAAGTTAACATAACAAATGCCCTTTAATTTTCAATTGGACAAGTGCCCATTAATTTCTCCAGGGCACGGATAGGACAAATGCCCTAGAGAAATTTTCCATTGGCTATGCAGTTGCAAAAGCAAACCCGTAATTTTCGTTTGCATGCGCTTGCTATTCCATATTATAGGTTCTAAAATAACCCTGATCTTTATCACGCACAAAATTAGTAGTCAGGATAAATTGGCAGTCTTACTATTCAAAATAAGTGACTCTTCATATTTTGTTTTTCATGAGTTACCCCTTAAGAGAAGCTCATGTAACATACAAACATGGATGCTCATAGATCTACTTGCATCTCTTTTATCTACTAGCCCTGGTAGTGGTGAGTGATAAGAAAACAAGTAGAAACATCTGAAGCAGGCATGATGAAAGATCCTATTCTCAACACAAAAGCGCCACAAATGCCCTGTAGCGTAATTGCTATGTATCATTGTATAAATGCGGCAGGCGATCATAAAACTAGTACCAACTTGGACTACAGTGAGAAAGAGTTTGATTAAATGGAAGATCTACATCCTGGCCAACACCTTTCTGACATGGTGATATCTCCTAAACCTTCTCGAAGAGGAGCAACATATAGCTGCAATGCAAAGCGCTTCCCGCCAACAGCTCAATCATATACTCTGAGACATCGTATAACACAAAACTAAACAATTATACTTCTTAAGGAGTCGTTTGGCATAGGGTATAAGGTGGGATAAGATGTAGGATTAAATTTATACTTCGTTTGGTTGAGACTTAATCCAGGATATCCCACCTTATCTCATCAAATGTGGGATTATTTTATCCCATCTCTCATGTGGTATAAATTAGTCCTGGGATTATAATTCCGGGATAATTTAGTCCGCGTACCAAATGACCCCTAAGAGTAAAGGGAAACGTCCCATTTTCAGCTTCTCATCATTGAGAATTTCCAACAACTAACATGTATTTCGGATGACCTGTACAACTTGAATTAAAAACCGCAGACTATGATGAACTGCCATCACCACTTCTCAAAACCCATGCTGAATTTTTTGATTCACATAATTCCTGCATAACCTGCAGAGGCATAGAAAAATATTTAGCATCCCGGAAAGTCAACAAAAGCTTTTCTATAATCTAACACGGATAGGACAGAAGCTTGTATTGCAATCTGACGGGCTGACAACATTTTTCACACCACCATCGAAGTAGCTCATTCACAATACAAAATTCAAAGCAACTTGAAGGATCCTAGAGCACAGCAATGCAGTATCTCGATAGTATCACTTAACATGGAATTTAGTAACTGTTACATTTTATATCCTATCACTGATGTTGATTGTTAAGACTAAGAAAAGGAGGAGAAATACCAAAAGGAGAAAAAATGGAAAGAAATGGGGTAAGAGGATCAGAAACAGGATACTGTAAACATCTTTCGTACATCTGCTTGTGCTGGAATACATTGACTTCGTGAAATAGCATGTAGGTTCAAGCTCATTTAAAGCCCAATAACCATCATAGATCACGTCGGTCAGCACATACGCAGCATTACCACAGTATTGCTAAGATCCAAATTACATAAAAGAAGTGCAAAATAAGAACCCTGACAGCAGTCCAGTAGAAAAACCTAAAGCCCAAGATACAAACTTTCCCACGTCATAGAAGAGAACAAAAATGGATCCTGCCAAATGTTAATGTTAGCTTTGCAGTTTTTGTTTCTTCTGCACTAATATTTCTTTTGTTGTTTTTGTTTCTTCTGTATGGATAACTGTGAAATTTACATAACTACTACTTTTAGAGAACCCTTAATTCACCTTTGGAGTGAAACATTTAAATGATTCATACAAACAACCCAGACTAGTTTGGGTTTAGGCGCATTTGATTGATAGTGTTGGTATATAAGGGCGAACTCTTGATTATATCACAAAGCATAAAGAGGATGGAAGAGGGAGATACACATGAAACACAATAGTAATATTCTCAAAGACTCCACTCTTACATAACAACGTTACAAGGGATGCTTTTATTGGTGTCGAGACATTCTAAGACTCATACCTAATAAATGATTTCACAAACACTATGAACTTAACCACAATAACGTAAAGTCATACCTAGATAATTTTAAAGGTCATGCACCTAGGATAACCAAAAACACATGAATCTAGAGCTTAAACATTTAAGTTTACTATTTTCAACGTCCTCTTAAACTTAAATGTCTTTTCCTATTCTTCATTTACTCTTGATAATTTCAGCATCATTTTCAACATCCTCTTTGTTTATGCCTTCTAAATTTGCCTTCAAACATTATCCTTGCACGCATCTAGGTAGGTCATCTGGATAAAACTTTTCTCATAATTTCAAATTTTCCATCAATACCTTCAGAATTGATTTAAGCAGAGAAGTTTCAACTATAGGGAATTCATTCAATCTCCTTCTAACTTTTGGCTATTGCAAATACACTCATGGAAGACTTTTCTCGTCTTTTTTTCCCGTCTTGTTAAGTCCTTCAAGACTTGCACCTTCTCGATGGGCTGCTTTATTCTTCAAAAACCCGAAGTATTCACTTTTCTCTTTGAAAATTGTCGGCCTCTCAACAGGTCCTCAAATATGGAGAAGCACCTTCTGTTGAATTGCCGAATTTCGCCTTTACACCTACCAGGATCGAACCACCGTTCTGATACTACTTGTTGGAATATAAAGATGGGCCCTTGATAATATCACAAGGCACAAAGAGGAAGGAAAAGGGAGATACAAGGGGTGCTTTTATAGGTGACAAGGGAAACTTCTAGACTCATACCTAATAAATGATTTCACACACACTATGAACTTAACCACAATAACATAAAGCCATACTCAGATAATATAAACGATCATGCACCTAGGGTAACTAAAAAGACATATAAACCTAGACACTTGCACATCTTACTATTTTCAATAGGTTGACTAATTGACACTACATCAACTATGATAATACATGTTCTGATATTGACTTCAGCCGCCATGTGAAACTCCACACAATAAAGTCAAAGAAGACATTCCTTAATTCTCTTGACGAGTAAGAAAAGAACTACTCACCTTTTTAAACTCAATATCGGTAATATCCCTATTCAATTGCAACTTGGCAGCTTCAACTATAGAGGCTTTCTTTAGCTTTGCACTCGGCCCTTCAGCCATAAGAAGGTCAATTACAACTTTCCTAAGAACCAAAACTATGTATTAGCCGCGGGCCTAGGTATTTATCAAGTAGTTTTAGTTATAATAGCAATACTTACTAACCTCAATGCGTCATATTGTGGATTATCTGGTGATGACTTCAAAACATAGACACCATGGATGTTTACAGCAACCTGATTAATCACTGCCTGTATCTCCTCGGGAGGTGCATCATTCACAGAATTGGCTGCAGTTATAGCCTTCTTTGCATCTCCCTTTTGAGACTCAGAAACTGCCACATCTCGCAGACGTTGGCGGATTTGCTGGAAACTGGCAAAATTAAACAATGGATTTCTGATCTGTCAGGGGTCACAAATTTAGATGGAGGAAATCGGCTTTTTTTTTTTTAATTTTAAGAAAGTCATGTACAGTTTTTCCTTGAACAGCAAACAACTCTATTAAATCTAAATATCACACAGGCGAGGTGCACTGGAGAAAAGACAAATGGAAAATACGAGTTTTCTTCTATGTTATGATCTATTACCATTCTAGAAAAGTATAGTAGTATAACATAACAGGAAGACAGCATAAATTTTGTGATGGACAATTTCGACCTAAGTATTTGCACAACTCACCTCAATTAACAAGTCAACATAAACAGGACTCTGAGGGATAATGGATTACCACTACTCAAAGTAAGGTTCTGAGATGATGCCAAAGCAAAGAAAAATGTCCTATAACCTAGACCATCTCATCCTTTTAGAAGTCATATTCAGGATGAAACAATCACCTATTTACACAATCCTTAAGATCCGAAAGATAATATCAAATGCCATAAAAGGTGCAACGGCTAGTGGAACAAGATTATGAGAGAGAGAGAGAGAGAGAAAGAGAGAGAAAGGGAGAGACCGAGAAAGGGAGTTCTTGAACCAAACACAAAGGAACTCCAACAGGTGGCAGAAGTTGGAGCAAGGAGCATCAAGCAGTTCAAAAAAGCCAAGCACGGACATGATTGTAAAGTTGCAGAGCAATCAAACCAAGGTCAACAAACCACCTATTAACAAAGGTTTCTGCATTTTTTTCTCAGGCTGTAACAATTTGTGTGACTAAGATGAATACCCAAAATCAATGAATGGTAAACAACAAAGGGCAGAAAAGTTCACAAATCTCAGATATCTCACCTGCAAGCCTTATAGATTCTAAAAACTTTTTGAAGCGCCTTTGGTAAAGCTTCTCGAGTTTTTTCTGACATAGATGTTCGCAAAAGTGACCCAGGGGCAGGTTTACCACCACCTGGCAGTGCAGGAATGTTGGCATTTGGATTTAAAGGATTCTTCATAGCAGGCCTGTTTCTTCCTCCGGACAAAATACCATTGATCTGTTTCCCCATGCATTCCCAGGTAGCTTGCTGCTCTTTCACAACATCACCATAAAGAACTTCAAATTTCTTGTCAGGATGCTCTTTGAGCTTCCAATCATTCAGGTCAGGCCTCTCAACAGCTAATGATTTTAGTGTTGGTTTCGCAGCTTTAAGGAAATCCAACCTCCTGGCAAAAACTTTCTGCTTAATAATGGTACTCTTGCTAAACTCAAAGAGAATAAAATTCCTTGCTAAAACTTCAAGTCCATCATTCTTTCCATAGATTAATGAACTTTTTGGAACCCATAATCCTTGAACTAATTGTGCGTATCTTTGGAGAACTCTCAAAATTTCATCAACAGGATCATCCAGCGCCAGGTGCTTTAGAGCATCAAAACGATGAATTGGAGGCCCCTGTTGCCAAAAGAACCCAGATTTAGAAATATGCTGCCTTTATGAGTTACAAGGATCATGAGACCTTGTAAACAAACTTTGTTGCAGGCATAAAAGTATACAAGTAGCGCATAATTCAAATAGCGGGTATAAACCTCAAGAAGCCAAGTTCTAATGCGTTCTTCAAGAGGTAATTGAGACAACCTGAAAACCAAACATTTGACAATTTAGAAGTTAGGAAGCATTAAATGACTGGGGAAAATGTTTAATTTAAGATAGTTGAGAAATATGGCATTTCAAGAACAGCTATCTACTATTCACATGGCTGGGTATTGATAAAAAGAAATAGCAAATATCCGGCTAGAGAAAGATAATAGAAGAATCACAAATGGAAGCAATTCAAGTCATGAGCTGCATATTTATGTCAAACTACATTGTCAAGCCCCCAACGAGGTGATTAATTTGCAATTCCAACCTCAGGTATTTGCTAAAGAATGGAGTGGCCATACTAGAGAAGACAATAACACCTCACAGCAAAGAAGACAGCTCTATGATCATAAATGCAAATAAAAACTTTGTTGTTGTCCTAAGCAGCACCTCCAAAACCTTTCGATGTCAGAATAATCGACGAGGAGAAGGATCAATTAGAGAAGCTGCAGTACCTTGTTCGAAGAATTTTTAATCTGTCAGTGTCAGTTGGTCTGCCAGGACACACAGCGTTCAGATAATCAACCCTGTGTATTAAATTAACAGAATAGAAAACTGGTATAAGAATAAGAAAGACAGTGGATGAATGTATGCTTTGAGAAAAAATGCTTCTTATTAGTTGTCCTGAACAGAAGCAGTTTCTCAAGCGGAAAAAATCAACCATATTAGGAGACACATACGGGCTCATTGAAAATGATACTGGAGAGCCTTCCGCCATGGCTATTTCCTGTAGATATCTGGCTGAAATGTCACTCCTAGCTCCATGGTATTTTAGATGTACCCAATGCTAAAACAGGAAATGAAGAAGATACCAATAACCTCTCACAAGGATCTGAATTAACGTAACTTTTTGAATTGATATTTGCGACTGGATGGAAAAAGCTAAGTGCTCTTGAACAGATTATAAATAGAAACATTAAGAACAGAAATGTCAATCCAAATCATAGTAGATGCAAAATCAGCAGCCACTCAAGCTAAAGAACTATGGAGAGTTAGTAGCTAATATTTAAAACTGGAAATTTTGTCAGTACATGGTCACAGGTGTTTATCATACCTCTTCAATATCCTTGTCATTCCCAGGTGGTTTGTTCTGCACAAAAGGTATATGTTATAAGAATAAATCGAAGAATGGTAAAGCTTTAAGCAGCATTAAGGGAGGGATAGCCTAGTGGCAAAAATCCTCCACCTCCAACAATAAGGTTGGGGTTGACTTGAGTCACCAAGTGAGCAAAATGGAAAAGCAGGTATTGGGCTCCAGGGTAAGGGGTTTGGGTGTGGAGCTCACAATACTAGGAAAAGATTAGTCTTGAAAGTAGCAGAATGGTTAACAAAAGAAGATCAATCTTTAGGCATTGCCTTGTCATATTTACCCGAAAATGTGGCAAACCTAGTCCGGAACCAAATAGTCCTCCACATAAAATATCTTAAGTGTTAGCCACTAATTTGTACAATAATATCACATGAAGATTAGTCATAAACAAGGTCCATTCAAATTGCTTAGGAGCTGGGCATCAAAAAGCAAATCATGAAATGAACCTGCTTCTTTGATGGACCCGCAGGCTTTTTTTCCTCGACTTCTTTGTTTTCAACAGTTTTTCCATCACTGCTGGTGGCAATGTTCTTCTTCAACTCACTTTCCTTAAGATGCTGCTGTGATGGTCGGAGCTGTACAACTGCATGAATAGGATTGAGGTGTAACTGCATAACAAACAGGAAGCAAGAGCGTAACTATGGAGAACATTAATAAGCGTTAATTTTTTTCCATTCAACACAGAAATGAGCTTCAAATTGCTATCAGCAAATTAAGAAATTTTAGTAGAAGTTTCTCATGCTGACGTGTATAAGAAACGGAAGAATATAACTAAAAGGACTTGACAATTTTCTGATACTAGTCTTAGGGTACGCGCTTTGCGCGTGTACCCTATTTTAATGAGTAAAAATTTATGTGAATTTATCTATGAGTTATAAAAAAAAAGTATAAGTTCCTAAAAATAATAAATGTTGATAGTGTATAATTAACTCTATAATGAAAGAAATTGTCCAATATAAATATTTAATTATCAGTCAATAATTCAACTTAAAATTTATTTTAATGGCTGAAATTAGAATCGGAAGTGTGTATTTGACTTTGAAGTGTCATTATTCAAGTGAGATGAGTACTTCAATAGTATTAGCTAATACCAAATTTTAAATATTTAGCTGTAGTTATATTCTTATTCATGAGAATTTGTTTTTCAAATAGTAAAAAATCGATTAGGTAAAAAATCATCCATGAATGACCTGTTCCCAAAAAAATGCAATAAAAATACTTTGTAATCTCAAATAATTAAGAATCACTTTATACAATAAATAAATTCTAAATCAAATGCAAAGCCATAATTGTAGTCAAGAAACCTACATATATTCAACTAAATTCTAAAAATGTTATATAAATTTTTAAAAATATCTTATAAATTATCTTTTTGGAATAACTAACAAGTGTTTCATAAATATCTTATAATTGTTTCATATAAATCAGAATGTACAAAAGTTTATAAAAAGACTTTGACCACTTCTGTTATTATTCAAAACCTCATACTTTCCCCTTTCTTTGATCTTTTTAATTATTTCCTTTATTCATTTTGTTTATCATTTATATATTTATATATAGTTTAAATGCATGATTTTTATAAGGTAAAATTTTCATGATTTTAAAGTTTTAAATATAAGAACTTTCAATAGTTCAAATAAGAAAAGATTTAATATGTAAAATTTTAATTGATTTTAAACTCCTAAATATGAGGAAATTAATTAATGATTGTTCCTAAATATTAAAAAAATCAAATTACTATTTTTCTCAGTGCGAACTGTATTTTTAAAGGGTAAAAAATGCAAAGGACATTTCGCTAATGGACTTCGTACTTTTAATATAGTATAGAGTATTTGATAATAAATGTTTAAAAATAACATAAATAATATTCAAAGTTGTATTTATATTATAAAGTAAAGATTAACAGACAATTATATGCTCCTAAAACTAATAAATACTAATCATAGATAGGAATTTGTTGTACCCATTTTAGAAGATACAAAGAAGATCACCTAACTGAGAAAAGACATCTTCTTTTATTTTTCTCGTAACGAAAATGCAAATTGTTCAATTTCTTTAATCAATAGAAAATAATATAGAAATTATTTTCAAGAGATTAGAAAAGAAGAAATCACTATTTCTTTGTTTTGGAGAAAGTTTCTTTTCTCTGTCCATTTATGTAACCGTGTGTTTATTTGGATGCATCCAAATGTTGTCTTTTCACAGAGTAAGAGTCAATAGCTAAAATTGAATTGCTTGCAATTGACGGGTTCTGAAAGAACTATGTTAATACTATCCTAGAAGGAGTAAAAATATGAAATTCATGTTAAAATCGGAATTACAATTTATTCTTTCAACCAAATCTCATGAATTTAATTTTTAGTTTTCTTGTGTTTGTATAATCAGTTCTCATTTAAATTGGAACTTTTTAAAAGCAAGTCTGATTTAATTAAAAGAATATTTAAAAATTTTTATATTATTTCAAAACATTTTATGAGAAATAATTTTCAAAACACTTGCCTCGACTGCCAGGCGCTTTACCCAGTGGTGAGTCACCAACACAGAGGTGTCTGAAACTATATTCTCTTTGGCCTTTGATGTGTCTTTTCCAGGCAGTGCCAATCACATGATTTGAATAAAAATTGCTTAAAATATTAATAAAGAGGTTTATGCGCTGGGCGAGAATATTTAGTATGATAATGTAGTTTTTACATGAATCCTCTGAGAATTAGATGCGGTTTAATCGGCGGACTATTTACTAATTGAGGTCCTTTCGTCTTCTGTGTCCGAAGTTTTTTCGTAATGTAATTGGAGTATTTCTGGTGTATCAGGTGGATGAAATTCGCAAAAATCATAAAAACGGGATACAAAATATAAGAGTTTTATTTAAGCGAGAGCAACGCGATGGAATATAAAATACACAGATAACCGCAATAAACACACTGTCGCAGGTCGAGAGATGACATCGGGGCACTTAATGAGCCAAGGGGTGAGATGCATAGATTAGGTCCGCCTTAGCGCGGCTTTCCTAGTACCCGCAATTCAGGCGTAAGGGTTTGCCCAACGGTGACAGCTCCTTCTGCGCCGCTGGAAAGACTGGTGATTGAAAAAGGCTGACCGCTCAAATTTCCCAGTCTGGAGACTGGCCCGTTTGGCTGGTGACAATTATAGTAGTCAAACTTTCCCATATGTAGTAGCGGGTCTTGCATGGTTTTCCCCGTGGCCTCCGCCAGGGCCGTTGCCCAAGGCTTCAAAAAGGCTTCGCAGATCATTGGTCCGACAACCTTTCCAATCCGCGGATCAATGCCTGATATATCAAGGCCCTCTGTCTTTATAACCTGAAAGCTTATCTCGCCCTCTTTGAATTGGTTTTCGAAGAAGGTCTTAACGTCCAACATTTGAGGCCTGCTGGCGTCATCGGGGATAACTAGAACATAGTGACTCCGCTTGTCCGGGCGGACAGTCTCAACAAAACTGTGGAAGAAGTCGGCACCATCAACTGTATGGATTTCCAACCCAAACCTCTCCTGTAGGATGCACAGCCCGAACGCATGAGAAACGATCCCTGCGCACCCCGAGGCGATGAAATAGAGGGGATGATCCTCGGCGAATCTTGCAGCAAACGCTATTCCAGGCTGGACGCCCTTTTCGGCGGCCTTGAACAAGGCAGCTGGAAGTGCCTGCAGAGATGAAACAAGAGCCGGAAGCAGTGCCCAGTGCTCTCTTGCGTTCAGAATGCCACCAATAAAAGACAGCATCAGCATATGGATAGCTTGGAAAGCCTGAGTTGTTTTCCCCGTGCAGAATGTCTGATGACCGAAGGAGGCGAGTTTTGAGTTTGCAGATGCTGTGAAGACGACCGACTTGCAAGCCTTGTCCTTCAAGAGCGCAGCTGCTTCGACCGTTTCCGGCGTCATCCCGGACTTCGAAGACAACACCACAAGTGTCGTCGTGTCATTCACCGTCTGCGCGTTGACGTGCATGAGATTCACAAAAGTTGCAGAGGCATATGCCTCATACCTGAGGTTTCGCCCGATCTCGTCAGTATATCGTTTCAAACTCCTCGCGATTGCTAGACCGGCCCCGGCAGAGACAAATAGGACGCGCTCGATTCCCGCTGACGTGGTGCGTCCAGATTCGGCGACGGCTTCGAGCTGTTGGAGCGTCGTGCGCAGCTGTTCAGATATCGCAATCGCGCTTGTTGACGACGGTTCATACAGCAAATCCATTGTCCGATATCCAGTCGGCGTTCTAGCTAAAGTGGGGTGGAACTGTGGTTTCTTTCAGAATTTGTATGCTGACTGTCTGTGTCAGTTCGAGGCGAGCGGAATGCAATTTATGCCATTCAGCGAGATGGCTCACGCGTAATTGGTTGCGGTAGGTGCACCAACCTTGCTGAGGTGTGGGTTGCCGTGTTGGACTGCCTTTAAATATATGGAATTGCGACGTGAATGCACGTCAGGCTACGTCAGTGCTTACGCATTGTCAGGTGGCAGGGAATAAGAGACAGGACAGAGCTGGTGCCATTTAGCAGCATGAATCAGAAGTCATTGAATTGCGGTTGGTGTACCAATCCTTCTTAATGTTGCTGACGGTGTCGGGCCCAATTGAGACGTGATTGGCACCTCAGGTTGCGTCAGCTCAGTAGTGCACTGCGCCAACGAGTAAAAGGTAACGTGGGACCATGTCAGTTGGCCAGCCGGCCATGCGTCTCGATCAGTGCGGAATATTGCATCGCCTCACGCACTTGGGGATGTCTCGAGCTCTCATGCGCTGACCCATATTAAACGGTGCTAGTCAGGTCATCTCTATCTCAAAAAACTCTCTCTACGATCTCTCATTCTACAATGCCGATTTCTCTCGAGTACCTTGGCACTGCCCAGCCACCAGCCAGTGTCAGGGACTTTTATTTCGTCCACCATGGCGCCACCGATCTGAATGAGAAAGAAATATACTTGCAAGGTGAGAAACATTGGGGTGTGCAGGGCGCCGGCACGAACATCGGTCTCAATGCAACTGGCAAACGCCAAGCGGTTCTCGCCGACAGCGTTCTGCGCAAACTTCCCATCGGCAGCGTCGTCTGCTCGCCACTTCTTCGCGCAATACAGACGGCCTTGATCGCCAATATTGGATGCCTCTGCTTTGAAATTGACGAGAACCTCAAAGAGCGGGGCTTTGGCAAGCATGAGGGAGGGTATGGACCACTGAAGATGTTCGAGGACAATTATCCCGATTGTGAAGACACTGAAAGGTTCTCTGTCCGCGTGGCAAAGGCCCTCAATCATGCCAATAATGAAAACACGCTTTTCATCTCCCATGGAGGCGTGCTCAGGGTTATCGCTGCACTTCTCGGCGTGGACCTTAATAAGGAACATACGGAGAACGGACGTGTTCTTCATTTCAGACGGGGCGTTTCACTTTGGACTGTAGAAATTCATCAAAGCGCGGTGATCTTGATCAGCGGTCCGAACCGCGGCATCGGCAAAGCGATCGCCGAAAACCTTATCGCGCACGGCTACCGCATGAGCCTCGGCGCCCGGAGAGTCAAAGACCTTGAAGTCGCTTTCGGACCGCAGGACGAATGGCTGCATTATGCCCGTTTTGATGCTGAGGATCACGATACAATGGC